ATTGGGTTATATCTTAAAAAATCTTGGGCTATTAAAATGTAGAATATAAGTTGCATTTGTTTTTTTCTTGCCAAAGATATTAAGGTAGTTCACTACAATTATTTAAAGTAGATCACAAATTTAATAATATATAACTTGTTATACATATGAAAAAAATAGGTGAGTCAAGTGACCCACCTTGCTTGTATATACATTGAGATTTCAATATGTATGTATGTATATATATATTATTATTATTATTATTATTATTATTATTTTATATAAATAAACAATTTTATTATGTGAAAATGCATTTTTACACATAACATATCAATTATTTCTACATATCTTTAGAAACATTTCACACACTTATTTTTTTAGAAGGTTGAATTTCATTAAAGAAAAAGCCATACTAAAATGAATTAGCAGGGTTGCATACACTTAGTTAAAACAATGGCGTATGCAGGAACTTGTGGAAATATCGTAATGATCGGTTGTTTAAAGAGGTGATTATCAATCCCACAATTGGTGTTGAGCTCATAAAATCTTAAGTAAATTACACAGATGGTTATTTAGCTTTACAATTTTTCCCTGATATGGTCCCTAAGAAACTTTTTTCCCTGAGATGGTCCCTACGGAGCAAACATTGCACACAAAAGGTCCTTATGACTAACTCTGTTAACAAATTCTGTTAAGGAATTGTAAATGACGAAAATACCCTTTATTTTTTGCACCCTAAAATGGTCCTTATGACACACACACACACTTTCTCTCTCTCTCTCTCTCTCTCTCTCTCTCTCTCTCTCTCTCTCTCTCTCTCCTAATTTCACCACCACCACCACACTCCGATCATAGCAACTGTGATTGAATTTGGGTCGATTACGTAATTCTCCATTTGTTGATAAAGATTAACTACATTTCTAGGAATCGAGTTGTTGACATACACAATTATCATTACATTCCAAGGAATTAAACTCTCTCTAGCGTGATTCATGAACATTTCTTTCATAAACATCATGTTGGTAGACGAAGTAGAAATTGTTACAGCAGGGGAAAGGCTAGCCATGGTGCCTACATTAGATTTTAAGGCAGAACATTGCATCATTTTCTTACAAATCTCCAACGCATCATCAAACATCCAGTTTTGGCGTAGGAAGCAACCATAGCATTCCAGGAGACGATATCTCTACTAGGCATTTCATCAAACACCTGGCGTCCTTCCAGTAACCGGTTACAATTTCCATACTTTGTAATCAATCCATTTCATACATAAAAATTTGAATGCAGGCCCTTTTTTAAAACAGAAACATAGGTTTGTAATCAGACCCACAAATTCTCAGAGAACATCCACCATTTCGTAGAACATACCTCGACACTCCTCCTTGTCACCATTACCGTCGTCCAAACTCCAACTCCATCACCACTCGCACCTCCACCAGCGTCAATTCCTGCAAAGACATCTATGTATCTTAAACTTACACCTCCAGATCGAAGCTTCTACCAAACCGAACATCAAATAAGATGGGCGGAAGAGATCTGATTACCTTTTTTCTGGCGAGGGAGGAGAGATCGGTCTTAGTTGGCAGTTGTGTTGTGCATCGCAGCCCCCCTCCTTTCATGTCATCATGTTCAAATGATTTATTAGCACTGGACCGGTAGCCATATTAGTCTTCTGATTCCCAATCTTCCTTTGCTTGTTTGCTTATTGTGAACAGAAAAGATGAAGACGAAGGGCAATTTGATGAATATCCTGGGTTCTGTGCAAACTAATGGTGAGGTTATCCATTAACCTTCTCCGTCTTCTTCCTTTCTAGTGAGGTTGGGAATCACGACTGTTTTGTTTCACGATTTTCAGATATGGAACTAAGAGATGGGTTTCTAAGGAAGAGAGATATATGGCGAGGGGGTAAAGGCGGATGAGATTTGTGGAGGCTTCTAACGATGGCGTTGTTGGTAAAAGGTCAGTGGTGATGAAAAGAAGAGTTCGACGGTGGTCTTCCAATTAAGGAAGAGAGAGAGAGAGAGAGAGAGAGAGAGAGAGAGAGAGAGAGAAGAGTTCGACGGTGGTCTTCCAGTGGTGATGAAAAGAAGAGTTTGTCATTTAGAATTACTTAACAGAATCTGTTAACAAAGTTAGTGATAAGGACCTTTTGTGTGCAAGGTTTGCTCCGTAGGGATCATCTAAGGGAAAAAAGTTGCGTAGGGACCATATCAGGGAAAAACTGTAAAGCTAAAGGATCATCCATGTAATTTACTCTAAAATCTTTGGTGTATTTTTGGATCAAATGTAAGGGAACAAAGACATGTGTGAAGGTGGGACGAGTGGTTAAAATCCTCTTTCGATAATATGTAATATTGTACCTTTTTATCTTTGTTGTTGCTTTTCCTTTTATGTTTTGTACGATATTCGCCTCTTGCTAGTTTTTGGCAAGTCTCAGGTTATTTATATAAAATTTGTTGTTTCAAAAAAAAACATAAAACAATGAATTTATGTGTATAAATCTATTTTTCTACGCTTATAGGTTTAAAAAACATGGCTCCACTTCAAAGTTTACAACTACGAATTTTCTAAGTCTTCGTATTATTATTCATACGTATTTACAAATAGGGGTGACAAACAGTTTTGAATCAAAGATGTCAACCCGTTTAATTAAATGGGTTGACAAAAAATGACAAAAATTAAACGGGTACGATAATTAATGCAACTTCTTTTGTAACTTTTTTTTATATTTTTCAGCTCTATAACTAATACACTTCAACATATTTAATGTTTCAATCTAGCACGACATGATATATTTATAAAGTCTAAACCGTAAACTTGTCAATCCGACATGAAAATAAACAAGTTCACCCGACCTGACATTATAATTAAACGAGTTGTATTCTCAACCCATTTAAATTTCAACTCGACACGAAATAACATCAACACGAAATGACATGACATTACAAGTTTCCATATTTACAGACACTAAACTTTTATTATTTATAGACATATAGGAGTATATATGGAATTTTACTTGTCAACTTTTATTTGGAAGGCCCATAATTCATTGGTGTTCAACAAAAGGAGATGCTCCCCTTTACAAACTGCGAATGATATTCAATTTGTTACATATAATTGGATTAAACATAGATCTTATTATAATTTCATTTGTTAGTTCGATTGGTGTATCTTCCCTTATAATACTTGTACTGTGTAATTTTGTCTAGTGTCTCGCTAGTCTTTTTTAATACATACGACGTTCAAAAAAAAGAAAACTTGTCGACTTTTATTTATTTATTTATTTTTTAAAACGACGATTTAATATATGTCTGAGATTGAACTCATGACTTCATTGCTAGAAACATCATGTTAAACATCTTGTTAGTGAGCTAGCTCAAACTTATACTTGTCAAATTAAAAATTAATTGGCCTAGCTGAAATATGCTAGAATTTAATGTTAGTGAAAAGCATCTTTCACTACAAGAAGACTGGGCAACAGCGGCGACGCCTGGCGTCGCCAAAGGTTTGCGATGTCGCCGCAAATGCGTCGCCGGTAATACCTCGTCGCTAACACACCTAGAGTCGCCGCTAAAGGTTGACTGTCGCCGCTAATATTGCCCGTCGCCGCTAATACATTTTCGTCACCACAAAAGATGTAGCCGCTAATACAGTTTTGGTTTTTTTTTTTTTTTTAAATTTTATTTTATTTATTTATTTAACATTAAATTTATAAAAAAACAATATAGCATTTATAAAATCTGATAACTTTTTATAGAAATATTAATCCATACACAACCAATCCAAAATATTAATCCATATATACACAACCAATCCAAAATATTAATCCATACACAACCAATCCAAAATATTAATCCATAACACATTCTAAAGTATTCCTCCAAATTACAAAACATTTCATAAAATCCTAAAGTAACTACTCGTCCTCATCATTTCCTTCATTATTTGGTGGCGGCAATGAGCGAAACCACTCTTCCAATGCTGCAGAACAGGCCGAGTCCTTTAGTATTGTTTGCAGCATTTCCAACTATAAAGAAAACAAAATATATTACCAACATATGATAACAGCATTATAATTATACCATTCTACAAAATATCAACATATCAAATCATAACCAACATATCATTATAGCATTCTACTTTCCATTATAGCATTGTATTTTCCATTATATCATTAATCTTTTCAAAAGAGTAATAGCGGCGACTCCTTGGAGGGAAAAGTCAGCGTCTTTTCTACAACCGTTGGATTGAAAACAAATCGGACGGATGGGGGTAATTTGACGCAGATCGCCGTTTGCGAACATTACCGGTGACACCTTTAGCGGCGACATAGGGCAATAGCGGCGTCATATAACGCGTCAATTACATGTCGCCGCTATTGCCCCATGTCGCCACTAAAGGTGTCACCGGTAATGCCAAGATTTCTTGTAGTGGTATTGCAATAAACAAGTTAATGAATGTTTATATATATGTTGAATTGTTGATGACAATGTTTATGGCAACGGGGGACTGATGTTTGAACGTAACAAACATAAATTTTTGAATGCATGGTAATAATATAAAATTTCAGATTTTATTATTTAATGCTTAATACATATTATTTATAAAAATAATTCAATTTGTAAAATTATAAAAAACATATTCATTGTTTTTTGGTATTTAAAAGAACAACAAAAACAATTTATATGGATAATATAAAATTATAAATATTAAAAAGGTTTCAGATAATAGATCTTTACACAAATTATCCAAGACAACTGTAACGTTGTATGTATGATATGATCCAAACGTAAGTACTTAATTGCACCAATCTTGTTATCTATATGTTTCTTAGGAGGAATCCAACCATCCTTCTCCACCAACTAAAATTGACCAACAGCACTCCATCTGTTGCACTATATAACATCACCGCCCCCCTCCACCATTTACCTTCAACAACCGTCATCATCCACCTCTCTCTTTCCTCCAGCTTAGGTCTTATCGCCAACCCTTCTGTATTTCTTTCTTTCTTTAAAGTAATATGGACACAGACTGCAATGATTCAAACCTAATCCCCACCACTTCTTCTCCTCCTATCACCACCGCTAGCGGCGGCACAGCCAGTGGGAGTCCGCCGCGTAACAACAACAGAAAGTCTAAAGGCAAAGGAGGACCCGATAATAGCAAGTTTAAATACAGAGGTGTTAGGCAACGTAGCTGGGGGAAATGGGTCGCCGAGATCCGTGAGCCACGTAAACGCACCCGCCGATGGCTTGGTACATTTGCAACCGCCGAAGATGCGGCGCGGGCGTACGACCGTGCTGCCGTTATCCTCTACGGTTCCAGAGCTCAACTCAACCTCCAGCAACCGTCTGTAGACGGCAATAGCACGGCCACAGCCGCAGCCGCAGCCACCACATCTGCTTCTTCACCCCCCCGTGGCGCCGGCCGTGGCAGTGGCAGTTCTTCTTCATCTTCTACGACTCAGACCCTCCGACCGATACTCCCACGTCCTGCGTCTTTCAATCTCACTTTTTCACCATCTCAGACGACGCCGTCGGGGGTGCCCATTTTGGCTAATTATGTACCTTACCCGTTTTACCCTACCGTACACCATAGTACAAATTCTGGTGGTAATATAGTACAATATGCAATGCAACTTGTACAACCATATCAGTACTTACCTTACTCCAATTTGAATAAAATCAATGTCGCAGAGGACCCCACTTTAAGAATGACAACACCATCAACTACAACCTCGTATGATCCGAACGCAAACCCTAACCCTAGAAACAAGGATTGCCAACGGGAACAATTACAACCGGTGCAACAATGTCAAAAGCATCGACCAACGAAGGAGGAGATTAATTCGTTGGTGGGTTCAGTGGGATCAAGTCTTTCACTTGTGTCCAACTCGTCGCCGACAATGATGGTGGGAACTTCGGTTTCGGATCCGACTTCGGTGGCTGGCGGCAATCCATCGTCGCCTTCTTTGTGGGCTGCGACAAATGACGATGAGTACCCTCCACCCAGTATATGGGACTACGGAGATCCGTCATTTGATTTTTGAAGCTTTTCAATTTTCCGGTGGAAGAATTGAAATAATGGGAATATGGGATTCCAGTTTTCACACAATGGTGTTGGATTGAAGACTTATGGGGAATTGAATATGGTTTTAACTGCATTAATTCAATTTGGGGATTTCTTATTTCCTGTTATGAGCAAATAAGTATGATGATCAAAGAGTAGGGTTTATGTGATCTTCACAGTGAAGATTTCATATATTTCGTCTCATTGTTTGGAAAGGTAAGCCGACTTTTTCGAGTGAGTTCATTTATTTATTAACTAATCGAGTACCTGATTTAAATTTAGAGTTGTTAATTACTTAATTACAACTGCCTCTCCTTCTTTGATATTCTTAATTTGGACGATTTCAAGGTTTTTTTTTTTTTTTCTTCCGGTTTTTAATTTCCAAAAGTATTATGTATTGATCTTTTGTTATATAAATTATTGATGGAAAACATTATATTACGTTCTTCGTTATTTAGTTTTTAAGCATACACACATAAACCTAAATACAAAAATAAATATATGGTTTGTGGATGGAATAGTTCTAGTAAGTTATAGAGTCTTTGTATCGTGCTTATTACAATTCCGTCCTCCAAAAAATAACGCTTGATTTTATATGTAATTCTTTTTTTTGGAAACGGCAAACGAATTAAGTGGAAGCCTACTCCCAATATTTCAACGAGTATCCCGGGTTCGAGCTCCTTTACAGGACAAACCCAGCCCCTTCCCTAAATGTGGCACCACAAGAGGTAGTTTAAGGGAATCGAACTTCCAACCTCACGCTCTACATTGGAATAAATTGAAGTTTCCGTTGTCATAACATAGTGTCAATTTTAACAAAAAAATGTTAATGTACTCATATTATGTGGGATCAAAGGTGGTGTATGTATTAGCTTGTAAGTTGTTGTCTTTAAGAGTCATTTAGGAGCTCTCCTAAGCATGTGAGGATCAAAGGTGGTGTATATCACTGTATTTGAGTAACACATTAAAAAACTTCCAGTCTAGCAGTATTCGGTGTTGTCCTCATTCTTTAAGTCTGAAGGTTCAAATCACGAATTGGATATAAGATGAAATTAAGAGTAGTTTACGAATAAATTAGATTTGCTAGTCAAAAAACGAATTTGAATAAAACGCAAAAATATTGAGCTCTACCAAAACTCTATAAGGGGTGTTTGGAAATACTTTTTAAAACAATTTATTGACTTGTTGATTTTTTAAAAAACCAGTAAGTAAAAAATGTATGGTAATTTCAAAAGCATTTTCCAAAATGACTTTTACATTAGCTTTAAAAAGCATTCAAAATGGGGATTTGTAAAACTTAAGTTTTTGAAATTGTTTTTAGATTTTTAACCATAATAGTTTCAAGTAAGAGATTTAAGTGAAACATTTTTTTAACTTATTAAATTATTGATTTTGGCTACCACAAAAACTAATTCAAAAACTTTTTAAAAATTCATTTTACCACCACCACTACAAGAATATCTATCTTTAGTGGCGACTAGCGTCACCACTAATACCTTTAGTGGTGACACGTCGCCGGTAAAGGGTCGATGTTGTTGGTTCGTCGCTAATGCTAATGGTCGTCACTAATGGTATGTCGTCACTAATGCCTACCATTGCCACTAATGGTCTATCGCCACTAATGCCTTCTGTCACCACTAAAGGTGTCGCCACTATTTGCTGTATTCAGTTTTTTATTTTTTGTTTTGTTTTTTTGAAATCGCACCTTCTAAATGCAAAAAATACAATATAAAACTATAAAAACTGCTATGAAATATTAATTACAAAAAAATAGATCCAAATATTAAAATTTAATAATATGACATCCCAAAATATTAATCCAAAAATTAAGTGCAAGATATATTATAATCTAACAAAACATTACATAAATCCTAAAAATAGCTACACGTCATCATCGCTCCCCTCGTTCCCTGTCGTATCATTTCGTGGCAGCAACGATCGAAATCATTCTTCAAGAAGTCGCAGTACGTGTCGGATCTTTTAGTATTGTTTGAAGCATATCCAACTACAAAAGAAACAATATAATCTTATAAGTTAAACCAACAACTTACCAACAGATAAAACTACAACTTAAAGATTTATACGTCTTATAATTATATTATTATTAAATTAAAAAATGTCCAATATCCTTATAATATAGTATAGATAAACAATTTTTAAACTGGCCAATAAATTTTGCATGTATATTTTATGTATCTAGAGTTATCTACGATTGTTCTATTTTATTAAGCATGCTTTTTAGACATATTTTTAAAAAACTATCAATCTTTTTAAATTTAAACAACTGCATTATAAAAAGAACAAATATGTCCAACATATATATATCATACAACAATAGATTGGTAATAATATATAACTAGTTTACTTTGAAAGTCCTTATAACGTATCATTACTTTTATATATCTACTCTAATAAATGAAAATCTTTTTATCATATGTCACACTCTCATTGATTTGGTCACATGTTATTTTGTAGTTATTTTCAATTAAATTTTTTCCACGTGACATTTTCTGGTTTTTTTATTTTATCAAATTCCATATAATATTTAAATATAATAATTGTAATAAATATAATAATAAATTAATATCAATTTCATTAATTGACTTTCCTTATAATTTTAAAATTTCTAAAATAAAACTTCATTAATTTTCTTTGTTTATTTATCTAAATTATTTGTTTAAATTTAAAAAAAAAACGCTTTTAATTTTAATTTTAATAATTCAATATTTTTCTAATTTTTCTTATAAGTTTAAACTTCTTAAATGTTTAGAATTTCATATTTAATTTTTCTTTTAAATGAACACATGTAATACATAGGTTTTACACCTACTATTTCAATATAAAAAAACCGCAAAAATGGTAACTGGGATTTGTAATTTTCTTTAACCAAAAGTCTAGAAAAATTCAAATTGCAAAATAGTCATTTTGTGGTGGTTTGATTTTTGAACCGTACGATTACCAATCGTCAATTTTTGTAACGTCCCAAAAATTCAAACAATTTTTTTTTTCATTTTAAAATATAAGTTTAACAACTTAAAATCATGTTCCATAGAATCCAAGTAACATAGTTTCAACCATCACAAAAATCTAGAAAATGTATAAGAAAATGTGGAAATCAAATATCATTAAATATGATATGTGCATGCATCACGGTCCGGATGGAGCTTTTCCACTACCCAAGGCAAGTTCCCCAAAAATAGCACAAACATTACAGTAATAACTATACATGCCAAGTATTAGGCTTCTTTAGCTCACGGCCAGTTCCGATCTTGCTATCATCCCAATTGGGTACTCCTTAACTTACGCCCTGTCCGGATCTTGTCATCAACCGACCCGACACAATTTGACTCATGGCTTACCTTGATCTTGTCATAAGCCCAACAAATCACATAACATACCAATCTGAATGTCCCAAACCCTAACACTCGTGTATGAATCTAATAGAAATGTGAAATAGTAACATAAGTATTCAACAAATAAAAAACAATTTTATTTGTCGGGTTTTTCATTTAAGCAGACTGATTCATAAATTTCAAATATTCTGAATCATCTCCAAGAACTCACAAAGAACTCTCAGACCTCTCTACAAAAACTCTCTAACTCTCAGAATATAATACAAATCACCAGCTCTTAACTTATGAGAGCATACAATATAAATAATAGAAAAACCTAAGAGCCCATTACAAAGATAGTATATGAGAATTTTGCAGATTCTCCAAATCTTCTGATTAAATCAAATCCCTGATTTTTAGGGATTGAATCTTCAAGGATAAATGTAGATCTGGTAAATAAGGAACAAACAGATAAGATCTCTAGAATACTTCTTCACCAAGTAATTCTGATTTGTTCCATATTCGAGCATTAACACCAGCATGACATTTGTTGACTAGAGCATCAACATTAAGGAGTCATCCACCGATCAGCTTCAGCTTCAACTCAAGTAGCTTCAGCTTCAGTAGATAGTACATAATCATCAGCGATTCAAGTCTTCAGTGTATCATGTCATCAGTGAATAAGTACTTCAACATATAGACACACTGATCAGTCATCAGTGTGTGTATCATCATCAATGTAGGACGCTTTTCTTCCTGGTCACACCATCAAGACTTTAATGAAAACATATTAAATGGCTTCACATGATGATAACTTCATTAGGGTCAAATATGTCATCAGCATGTCTTCAGTTCTCACCATCAAGGGACGATCTTCAGCAGCACCAAAAATCTTCAACAACTTCATCAAATCTGATCAGCTAAGGCATCTCATATCTGGTCTTCATTCTTTGACATCTGTACTTCAGGGGTTGGTAGAGCAGTAACATATATCATATTCAAATTTAGTCTTCGGAATCCTCAACATATCTTCAGATTAATTAAATAAACAAACTTTGACAGATCAACTTGTCTAAGTTGTATTATTTACACTTTCTTAGACAAGACTGACTGTCTACAATGAGCAAAAAGACTATAAACATTGTATATTTTACATCATCAAAATATATACAAATATGTACCCAACACAATCAAAATCAATTAAGCAACAACCATAACCAAGACCCTACAAGTCTAGCTAAGCATACTAACACATGGTAGTATTACACAAGCATCCAACACACAGAGGATCGAATCATGACATAAGTAATATAGTAAGACGACTCACCTGAACCGAAAACCGAAGAAACACAACTACAAATTTGAATCCCGCAAGAAACAGTCTCACGAACCGACTAAACACCAAAAAGAGACCAAAACTCACTTTATGGTCTAACCCTAAAGTTTAACCCAGAGTCAAACTTGGTCAAAGGTCAAAAAAAAGCCAACATTTCAAAAGTCAAAGGCGATCCGTGCCAGGAAAGGACAAAATAGTTGATTTCCAGCTTAAATTAGACATGAATCAGAAAAAACTCAGAGGCCCTTCGTGCCCTCCAGAAGGTGCGCCACGTGTAACACCGTGATTTTTCACCCAAAAAATTTCTTTTAT